AAAGAAGACCAAAAGAAAAAGAGAAAAAGAAAGATAGAAAGAAAGAAAGAAAGATAGAAAGAAAGATAGAAAGAAAGATAGAAAGAAAGAAAGAAAGAAAGAAAGAAAGAAAGACAGAAAGAAAAGAGAAAGAAAGAAAAAAAGGGAAAAAGAAAGAAATGAAATAGAAAAGGTAGTCTAAAAATGGAAAGAAGATAAGCCACCAATAACCTAACTGCCCACGTCAATCCACGTCATGCAGGTTCTTCTAGAAGTAACCAATGATTCATTTACGATATGACAGTGTTTCATTTGGAGAATAGAGGGTTGCTTTGTCCTGCCATTTTTAGCTGCTTGTAACAGTGTCCGTTACTCACGTCCCTGCAAGTGCATACACACATACGTGCATAAGAGCAGACACACACACACACACACACACACACACACACACACACACATACACATACACACATACGTGCATAAGAGCAGACACACACACACACACATACACATACACACATACGTGCATAAGAGCAGACACACACACACACACACACACACACACACACACACACACACACACACACAAATGTGTGAAAGTCAACTTGTCTTGGCACGTGCGCAGGCTTTAGCCAGCCATGTCTGTCAAACTGAAGACTCGAGTCCTCGAGTTAAAAAGCTATTTTTAGCAGTGTTCAAGTCATGGCCTCTAAACAGCCAGGCCCACTTGAATCAGCTTCCAAATTCGAAAATTGGACTCGATTCTTCGATTCTTTTTCAGTTTTGGAATCAAGGCCTCGAGTCTTTTTGCCGCCGATCTTGCCCTGGCCTAATTAACTGTCACCACTTGGTGATATATTTTTAAAACTTGGTTGTTTTGGGGGATTTGATATACTTAAAGAATGCTAAACGTCTCAGCAATATAATAATATATTCAATTTTCAGAAATCATGTGATCTGTATCTCTGAAGCATTTTTCAGGGTGGGTAAAAGTTTGAAAATTTATTTAGCCATTGTTTTTCTTCAAAAGATAGCTTAATAGCTCTTCTCTCTACTCTCTGGAACTACCCCCCATTATAAGTGTACAAAGAGATCTTCTTCAAAACTGAAAAGTAGGTGGTTGGCGGGTGCTCTGGTGTAGTTTGCTTCTTATTTCCTTTCAAACATCTATGGTCCTTATCTCCCCTTCTTCTTTTTTGTTTGTTACTCTCTTGTAACACCTCTAATCTTCTGGCACTCATATGACCTTATGCAGTTGCTAACGCCATAACACCTCTACCAAAAAAAAAAATTGAAAAACTCATGCATTTGCCTATGTTCTGAATAAAATGTGGAAATTCCCATGTTAGTGCTTTTTTCTATCCTCAAGTTTTCTTAACACATGTTCTTTTATTCTGTCCTAAAAATTGAAGTTCATGATGGTTTTGCTGTTTTTTGTCCTGAAGGATGGCTTGACCGCTCTCCACTACGCTGTCCAGAACAACCACGCAGATATGGTGAAGGCTCTACTCGACCGGCTCAAGCTGGGTGGCACAACGCGCGACTCGGACACAGCACACCAGCTGGTGGCCATGACAGACCTGGATGGGTGGAGCATCAGCCATATGGCGGCCCACCTTCAGAAACAGGTGAATTTCAGTATACCTTCTGGGTTAGGTTTAAAATGTGATTTTTTTCGTTTGCCTCTTAAGCCTTTAATTATACGTCAATAGGATTCATTAGTTAAAAGCACATCATGTCGAAGAACATTTTTAGGGAAAGATTATATGAAGTTTATGCTAATTAACGTAAAGTATATTTCATTTGGAAAGTTGGAAGAGGTAATTGAAATGGAAGTGCATGCCCACTGAAAGATTTTGACTTTTTATGAAGAGTGTACATGTATATTTGGAGTGTATACTGCATATGTGTCTCGTCAAATACTTCAGTACATTTAAGTTTGCTCTCTTATTTTAGTCCCCCACCAGGGCAGTGCTACTGACTGAAGTTGTCTTTAGGACATTCCCAAAGGGGAGATATTAACATGGTCTTATGCACAATAGAATTGTAAATGGACTGATTTATCAATTTCATGCTCATACTGTGCTGAAACAACATAGGGGAACTTCTGCTTTTTTTTCCCTCATCCTTACTATTGTAATTTTCCTCTACTTCTTTCGTATGTTTGTCACTCTCTTGTGTACTGCTATTTCTGGGATCCCTTGATAGTGGAAGCAGACTTTGTGCTGTTGAGGCTAGAGAGGTGAGCAGAATAAGCCTGATTCCCCGTTTGGACTTCTCTCTTGACATCCACCCCTTGGCGTTCATATGACCTTGTGCAGTTGCGAGCACTGTACAACCTTACCAAAACTAAATTTAAAATAGTGTTTTAAGGAGCTTTAAAGTTGTGCAATTTTGCTATATGTTGCTCACAATACAAGATGCAAGAGAAAGTTGATAAGTAATAAAGGGATGCCATTGCAATAGTACATCAGTGACAAACTTATGTTGATATGCGTTATCAAGCTGCAAGTTATTCATGATTTCAATAATTGTGTTCTCAATGCAGGACTGTCTGATTTTGCTGGCTGAAAATCTTCCCTTGGACTTTGATGCAAAAGATAAGCTTGGCCGTCCTGTGAAGGCTGTTGCATCTGCCATGTGCAAGGACTTGCTGGCCGATATAGGTAGGTCAAATTCATATTTTTTTCATCAACTTGTTTTCACTGTTTTTCTGATCTCATTTATGCCGATGTTCTTTTCTTTATTCGTATATGTCACTATGAAATTAGTGGTAAACATTGACAATGCTATCAGAATAACATATTTGTTTGTGTGGAATTATTGAACTGTGGGCCTACATAATGTGCATAAAATTGTAATTTCCGTATGGGATGGTTGATTTTGGGCATGTGACTTATGACATGTTCAAAATTTTTTTTAAGATGACTATCGTGTACTCTGACATTTGGGTTCGGTTATGATGTTGTTCCTCTCTTGCAGACAGCACAACTGTATGTCCATCAGGAGACAGATGCCAAAATGTAATGTATTGGCCACGGGAATTTTTCTGCCGTCATGTAAGCGTTTCATATACAGGGGAATCAATGAAATGTAGCCTGACTTTTAATTTTTGAATTTATTTGTTCCAGATCGCCCTTCAAGTCCTACAGTGAAAGTCATAGTAGAGGTTCGTTATATGTTAGAGAACACAACAGTGTCAAGTGTCCATGTTGGTGTCATGGAAGTCGGGCCTGGGATTGGCTGGCGAATAATGGAAGATCGGTTGAGAGCTGTCCTCCATGGATATCTGGCTCAGTTGAATGCAGGGCTCCGCACACGCAGGTGAAATTCTTAGTGAAATTTGTTAATTTCACAATCCTGTGGTTCATTTAATCTGCATACGGCATTGCTTTTCTCGTAGAGCTGTTTTTGAAAACATAGCATGATAGTGTGTCAATTCGAATCTTTCATTGAGCTAAAAGTGTCCCAACCCATTCTGTGAGAGGGAGTTTTAATTCCTATGCCTGTTTTTTTTGTAACAAGAAAGAACCTACTCTGTTCTGAAAATAGAGCAAGACTCAGCTGGAACAAGTTGACATGTCAGTAATTTTTATGTTGTTCAATAGAATAACCCGCCTGGATGCAGACCTGGACAAATCAGACAAAGACTTCACCTTAGGACTCATGATGGCCAATATCAAGCAATTTGAAATGGGTGAGAATTTTCCTCTTAACTGTTCCCCTCCAGTTGGATCTATATACTACTTCATTACTGAAATCACTTTTGCCATTAATTTAAGCTTTCATGCATGAATTTGTTTGGCAATAGAAGTAATGGTATGATTATCCGATCTTTAATTGTGACATATTGTTTTGAGTCCCAGCAAAAGACCATGCGGAAAGTGATTGAATTTGTGCTTCAAAAGTAGTTCTGATGAGCAGTACTCTCATTCGAACCAGATGTTTTTTTATTTAATGGGAAGTTCCCAGCACACAGAAAATCTCAGCACTTTGCCTCCTGCATTGAGCCGTATAGGGTGCATTACTGAGCTACAAAGAAGATAATAAAATAATGGAAGACATACTTAACTTTGTGGGTTCCATCTTTGTATTAGCTTGGTGACTTTAACACTTTGCTGCCTCATCTCGCCAGTCGACGATGTTTACCACCAAGTTTCTTTGGATTTTCCCCGAAATGCCTTTGCCTGTGATGGCAAGAGTTTTTACTATAGTGTTATTGTCTAAAACTAAAGCGACTTTTCCTAATTGAATGTTGAAGTAAAGACATTTGCCAATTCCTTTTCTTTAGGCTTCTACAAGTGGACACCAGGCATGCAGACTGACACGTCGCCGTATCTGATTCTATGCAACAATGACCAAAAGAAAGTGACAATCACAATTGATGGTTAGTCGTGAATTATCGTTGGTGTTAAATGTCTGGTGATATAACTTTCTATGTCATTCTTGAAAAGAGGGATGAGTTGTTTTTTTATCTCTGCTTTTACACTCATAAGGTTGTGATATTTTTTCTCATAGTTTTATGACGCCTCTCTTTTGACTAACTCCCCCCCCCTCAACTTACAAAGTATAGATTGTTTGTTGTTAAAAGTGATAGGTTATTATGGCAGTCTAAATTAGCTATACTTCCTATTCAGAAGGAAAATTAAGTGCCCAAAGTCAATAAATCCCAAGCTGTTGTGTTTTTTGGGGGGTCAATGTCTTGACTAGTTTCTGTCTGGTGTGATAGAGAACAAAAATATTAACCTCACACATACTCACTCATATGCCCTGAACAACACCCCCCTCTCCCAGAAACTATAGCCAATCCATATAATCATTGTCTCCAGGTCTAGTTTGTAACTGGATAAAATTGCACCATGTGATGTTTTGTAAGTTGTTGTCTCCACATTCAGTGACAAATTACGACTTCTATTATTCATATTTTCATTACAAAATGTAATACATTAGTATTGAGGAATATGATCATGCTCATTCCTCATTTGACAAAATTGAATAGTCAATAACACTGATCATGTTTTGTAAAGTGTTTTACGGCGCTCGCAACTGCATAAGGTCATATGAGCGCGCGGGACACACCTAATATTTTCAGTTGATAGGAAATTTTGAATTTTGCTAAGGTGGCGGCCGAAGCCTACTCTTATTGATTGTAGACCACCAAGGGATCTTTAACATGCGCAACTTGCACACGGGCCCTCCGAGATTTTTTCGCCCTTCTCCGAGAAGGCTAGGTGTAGATCTTTCCTACCAGAAGATCAGGGGTGTGGCTGAAAGACAGCAGTAAGGAGGAGCCAAGGAGCAGCAGTAGAAAGGCTGCAGAAAGTCAGGGGCCCAGAGGAGGGAGCAAAGGCGGTGAGGGGATGGGGGCAGAAAGTGGAAATGAAAGCAGACAACAGAACATTGTTAGAGCGCAGGAAAGGAGGTGAAAGGAGACAATTTTAGAGAAGAAAATTTTTCGGTCGCTACCCGGATTCGAACCCGGGACCTGTGAATGAGAAGCCAACACCTTAATTTGGGCCCGGGGGGGCCCCCCCCCCCCCCCCCCCCCCCCCCGTTCATGTTTTAACTTGAATCTGCATTTTGTTGGAAAGATGTTTTTTTTTTAGTTTGTCATATGAATAGAAATTTTGACTAAACAAGATATTTTTATAATCTTTATGAAAAACAAAGAGTAATTTTTAGGAGAATGTAGAATGAGTGTGACATTGTGGTTATGCTGTGTTTTCTTTCAGATTCAGACTACATGTGTGAGCTGATTGCATTTGATGTTCTACACCCAGTAGCTAGCATCAACAACTACTTACGTTTAGTAAGTGATCCTCAGATATTTCCATTTCAGTTTTACATGTCACTTCATGTCATTGTATTCTGTGATGAGCTTTGAGTTCTTATCTGAATTTTTAGAGATTTGAAATGCATGAGTTATGTAGATTCACTGGTTGATTGGATATGTGTATTTTATGTATAAAAGCTTTGGTTTTTTAAAACAATATTTTAAAAATCAGTTTTTGTGTTAAATATATATTTTTAGATTAATTTGGTAGGTATGAAAAGTTTTGGAAAAGTGGAAATGTGAATATGTCAATGACCACCAAATTAAGACTTTTAAAAAGCTATGCCTTGTCAGTCCTTTTATATCACTTTGATTGCTAGGCAATTATCAGAAATAAAAGTGTAAAAAAACTTTATGCAACAGGAATGTGATTTCTTAATTCTTGAAAGTTTATTGAGATTTTCAAGGGAGGAGAAGAAATCAACTGAGGTTGTGCTGAAAGAAGCCCAATTAGGCTACTCACTAATAAAAACAACTAGGAAAAGACAAATTATGAAGTTTCTGGGACACTTGAATAGACATAAAAGCCTTGAACATCTTGTTCTCATTGGAAAAATAGATGGCAACAGTGGCAGGGTAGACCAAGAACAATTTACTTTTGAGAATTTGAACAGATGGGTGACAGGAAAAGACCAGGAATATGTAGGGTTGTTTTTTTTAAGACCATCTGAACAAAGAAATGAATGGCAAAGCTTGATTGCCAATGTCAGTTTCAGATCTGGTACTTTTTGATAATGGTCATGAGGAATAGCTGAAAGGAATTGATTCTGTAATACAATGCATGGCAGAAAATTTATGTTTCATCTTGTTTATCCTTTCATACATCAGTAAAAGGTATTGCTTTTTATTTCAGCTGGAACAGTATAAGAGTGTCATATTCTATGGGCCAATAGGCAGTGGCAAGTCCTATCTGGCTCACCGGCTTGCTCAAAGCATTGCTGTAAGTTACATCTATTTTAATTTTGTCCTGTTTTCTTGTTTTGTTTTTCAACTTATGATTTGAAGGTGCAGTCATTTTATCTTAGGTTGAAAATGAAAAACGAGGGTTTTTTTTTTTACCATTTTCTATTTTAGGATGTAAGTTGTCAATTTTACTCTTGTCATTCTCGTTGGTAAACTTTAGTAGCATTTGTCCTTGTTCTCCTCAACAAAAATTCCTGAGGTGAACTTCCCAATTCCAACTACCCTACACGTCAACTGATAAAGTAAGTGTACACATGTTATTTTTTCATCTCCAGTTGGAATGAATGGATTCATGCCTTTTTGTTATTGCTGTGTGAATTTTTTAAAAATTTAATTTTAACAGTTTGTTTCTACTGCAGTAGGGTCATATGAATGTTTGTTCTTAGAATCAGTGAAGTGACAGAACTGATTGACATCAACTCAAGAAAAATAGATTTGTAAGTCACTCTAAGTTGACTTTGCCAAAAGATAAATTCTGAGGCTAATATGTACAAAATTACCAGGACAATAGATACTTGAGATTGCTCAATAATAGAGAAACAAAATGCTCTGTTTGCACATTCATTGATGTGCTGTGTCTTTATGAACTGATATGTAAAAGTTCCTCAGTCTGATATGCTCAATGAATTTCAATTATTTTACTTCTTTAGGTGACTAGCTCTTATAACCTTGCCAAAAGATACATTACTGTTTAAGAATGTCATTTACTACCACCACTTCCAACTGGTGCAAAGTGAACGCTAAATGTTAACAAGTAACTGTAAACCATATGAGCTTGAGACAATATTGGCATTTATCAGTAGCAATCGATTGTTGCATGTTTTGAGTTGGAATGAAAGGTATTGTTTTTCTTTATGTTTCTTCACAAGGCTCAAGAAAAATCCAATGGACGCAAACCTGTGATATATCAGCTGAGTCTTCAACCTGGCTATTCAGCTGCAAATTTTCTTGCCTTTCTCAAACAGAAAAGTAAGTACCGAGCTGCCTAACTCTCCTTTTTCATTAGAAAATATTCTGGTCTATCTGTGGCTTGTTGTACAGTGTCACTTATCTAAGTCACGTTTTGTACTGGCTGTTTATGCTATTAATAAACATGGATGCTTAGATTTCTTTTATTATTTTAAAAAATCTTTTTTGTACTCATAAGTACTCTCTTTTTCTAATGGTCACCAACTCGCCATTAACCTGTCATTAACCCAAATCTGTTTATTCTTTAACTACATTGTTCTTTTACTGCAGTGTTCCTGACAGTGATAGAAAAATTGGTGTTGATTTCAATTTTAAGCTATAAATACAAAAACATCAGATCTAAATGACTTGGGTCTCAGGACCATGTGGTATGCCACTGACATTCAGTACGATTCTCATCAAAGTTGTGCTTTTAGTTTTTTTGTAATAGCTTAAAAAGATACACAAAAAGTTAGTGAGTGATAGTAATATTGGGAATTTAAACAGCGCCTAATCCATAGAAGGCTCTAAGCACAAAGTGCTGTGAAATAAAGGAATAACAATGTGCTGTGAAATAAAGGAATAAAAATGCACAATGTGCTGTGAAATAAAGGAATAAAAATGCACAATGTGAGACCATTTAACAACAACACACATCTGAACTGAGCATTTGTGCAAATATGAACTTTCAGAATGTGCAGTGCCAGTGAACCAAGACTCACAGTTACTTGCCCCCATTGTTCTCTTGGATAACCTGGAGACAGTGGACATTGCCCAGTTGTTTGGAGAGCTTCTTGATCCCATGGAGTACAGAGGCATTGGACATGCTTTTTGTCTCAGAGGTGGGTTTGATTCCTTAAAAAGACATTTATTTTTACAGAAATTCCATAATAAAAGAAAATAAAAACAAAAAGAAGACAATTTTTCCCCTGCACCATTCTGCCAGTGACATATTTTTGAAAGAAGCATTTTAGTGTTTCTTTTATGGTTGAAATTCCTTCTACATTTTAAGTACAATGTTCACTAAATAAAATTTTCATTTCATGAAAATGTCATTAAGTGCTCATGGGTTGCAGTCAGAAATTTCTGTTAATGCAAGAATAGAACATTTAAATTTAGCAAGCTCTTCTTTTAGAATTTAAATTCTAGAATTATAATAGATTTCTAAATTCCGTAAATTCAGATTTGAAAAGTGGCTGTCTACTTTATTTACGCCAGTGACAATTGACAGTTTTGTATACTCTCTGAAGTGACTCACACCATCAAGTTGTTATATATTCATATTATAAAAGATTGCATGTTTTTCAAGTAAAGCAACATTCGCCTTCTTTTGTCATTCTTTTTTTTTTTTTCGATCCATTCAAGGGCTGGTTATAGAAAAGCACATCAGTGATGTGATGTGGGGAATAATGGTCTTTGGGGGGAGGGAGGGGGGGGGGGGGGGGCGACAGACAGAATTAAGAGTCGCATCATAGGTTTGGAAAATGACACCTGCGAGACTCCAACTCTTTGGAAGTTCTAAGATAAGATTCACTTTTCCAGGTGGTGAACACAGAGAGAATGGAATGCATTATCTGGTGGATCATTTTTATGTTATTGGAACTATGAATAAAGCAAGGTAGGTCATGTTACACTCTCCCTTAAAAGGGGACTATGGTTTCAAGCTTTGTGAGCCCTGTTAAGTTATTTTGATCCTAGTGTTTATGTTTTGTTATAATCTTTGTGAACAAGTTAACTGTTGCTTATTGGAATTATATGATGTATTAAAAGGTGTCTCATTAGTTTTTATTGATTCAGGGGTATTTTTTAATATCAAAATTGGGTGAAAAGTTTCAAAGATGTTATTGATTCAGTAAGTCATTTGATCTGAACTTGTCTCAAATTTTTTTTAATCTTCTTGATCTGCATCTACTTTTTTTATGATTCCTGACTGGAATTTATTAGTCATAACGTTGACATTGCATTGATATTGGCTCTCTGGAATTCTTTACCCAATTTACCCTGTGTCCACCTGGCTTGCTGCGAGCCGGTGGAAAAAATCGGTCCTGAACTCGACACACTAACCTTAAACGCGCATTGTGCCCAAACTAAATAAGGTATCAGTATGAAATTTTGCTTCGATTTTACTTAAAATGTTCTTTTAATATTATGAGAAAGAAAGATGAAGGAAAGAGCAGAGAAAACAATATATTTTTGGTCTGACTACGACTCATCGGCACTCGATTTACCCATAGCAATTTATAGTAAATCTATGGTCTAGATCTAGCTTTTCTTTGAAGTTTTCAAGGCACTAAAATCAATCCGATCGCCTTGTTTTTCTAGATTTACGTTAACTTTCCCTTTCTTTGCCGCTTATGTCTAAAACAAAACTAAAAACATGGTTCATGTATTTTGAAAAACACAAAAATAGCTGTGGCACTGTTGATTTTTGTGGCTGTTTTTTTTTTTTTCTTTTCTTTTTTTCATCCATGAAAATTTCAGTGCTCGCTTCCTTGCCATGATTTGCAGTGGCAAAACAACAAAACTAACTCGAACTTGGTGAAAAACTGTATCGAAACAAGCTAGCAAAAGTTTTTACAAGCTACAAGCAACCTATTATTTTCAATAGAAACCTGGATAAGTGGTTCAGACTCGATTTTGTGGACTAGTGTTTTGATACGACTATTGTCGTAGCTCGGTGGAAGGAAGCGCGTCACAGCTACGAATATACTCGAAGCTCGGGTGCAATGGGTTAAGTGCTGCCTCCCATATATTTTTAATCAAGTGCTGTTGTTTTTAATTTATTGAACTTTTTTCAAGTATTCTGAGGTTAGTTCTTCCTGCCTTTTTCTTCAGTGACCCAGTGAGTTCTTATGACAAAGAGCAGGAGCAGACTTGACACTCTTTAATTACTTGGCTTTGAACAATGAGTTCATAGTAGTACTGTGCAACCTCTCTCAATCATGTTAAGCCCATAGAGCATTGCATAAGTGGATATGTGCTATATAAATGCAATCCATTATTATTATTAATGACCTTCGATACAACGAAATCCTCTGTATAGTGACATGGTGCCCAGGTCCCGATTTTTTTGCTTACATGTCATTAGTAATATTTTTGGTCGCCTCTCTATAATGACAACTCTCTATACTATAAGGACATTTTTTTCTAGTCCCGTCGATGTCATTATATAGAGAGGCTGCACTGTATTGCAGACCTCTCAAATTTCACTTGGATGAGCTTCTGATTAAGGAAACATTCTTTTTTTTTGTGCTTCATCTCAAGTTTCTGTTTTGTTTTGACTGAACTTGGTAAAATGTCTTTTTGCAAGTCATGTCTCAAAGAAGTATTCTGCGGAATGTTAAAGATAAAGCTGTTATTCTATTCCCGGGGAGGTGCTACTGACTGAAGTGTCTTTAGGCCTTTCCCAAGGAAGTGGGGGGGACATTAACATCTAGCGAGTTCTAATGTACAGTAGAATTGTGATTGTAAATGGGCTGATTCATCAATGTCGTGCTCACAATTGTGCCTGAAATGCAACAGGGAACTGCTGCTTTTTCTTTCCTAATCCTTACTATCATCATTTTCCTTTACTTCTTTTGTATGTTTGTCAAACTCTTGTGACCTGCTATTTCCGGGATGCCTTGATAGTGGAAACAGACTTTGTACTGTTGAAGTTAGATAGGTGAGCAGAGTAAGTCTGATTCCCTGTAAGGACTTCTCTGTTGACATCCAGCCCTTGGTTTTCATATGACCTTATGCAGTTGCGAGTGTCATATAACCTCTACTAAAACAAACAAAGCTGTTATTGGTTTTTTTCTTCTTTGGGGTGGTGTAGAGTTATTGTTTTGATGATAGTGTGGTGTCACTCGAACTATCTTGACAGGAGACTTTACTTTTGTTTTAACCCTCAGATCCCTTGGTGTGGACTTGTCCATCCTTCCTCGCTTTCGATGGGTGCAATTTCGACTGGACACAGAACCCTTGCGAGGTTTGCTGGCACGTCACTTCCTGCGGCGGATCTTTAACATGTTTCATGGGCGACTGCCTCCGCCAGATGAGCCGATCTTGCGAGCCATAGAGTGGGTTGTGTGTGTGTGGCAACGGCTCAATGACAGTCTCAACAAGCTGGGACTGCCGGAGGTCATCATGGGGCCTTGTACCTTCTTCAAATGCCCGCTGGAGAAGCAGGATCATAAACTTATTCTGGAGTAAGGAGGCTCACTTTATACTGTGAAGGAATAATTAAATTGTGGTCTACCAATCTGCCTGTGAACAAAGAGCTTTATGCTTTTGAAGACCGAAGTCACTGTGATGTAGTTGTTATGGTGTTGTAGGAATGATCATGTTGCTCTAGAGCATGAATGGTAAAGCAAAACAGATGTTAGATTGAAAATTTGTTATTGTGTATGTGTTGCACCCCCATCAACACAATATCAGATCATTTAGGGGGTAGGCTGCTTCAACCATGCTTGTAAGGCCAACTTGTGCTGAGAAGGATACAACATCTCAACAGACAGATGGAGACACTCATAAAACCTCCCCATATGGGAATGAAAGTTAATTTGCCAAACTGTTACACCTCAGATGCCAGCAGGATTAAATTGCTAAACCTTTAAGTTCAGTTTTAAAAAAGGAATTATAAGATGATGTCATTATCACCTCTAACCCTTTGAGCCTAGACCTGATGCTACCGTACCCCTCTGCCTGCGCCCCTGAGCGACTTTTACTAACATTCATATGATCCTCAGAATCACATTCCATATCCCACTAATGGTAGTCCTTGTCATTACTAGCATCTAATTCACGAAGATTTTCAAATTAATCAGTAATGTCCTGTAAAGTGAACACGGTTTCCTGCCCGCGATTGTTCCAGGCGGGCTGGTTTGGGGATAAGGTCTCACTCACTGCTGTACCGGTGGCTAGCTAGGCATACAGGCAGTTTTATGAGCCACCGATACTGGTTGCGAGGGCTCAAAGAACTAAGGTGCGGGGTGTGTACTATAGCAATGCCAATCGTGCTTTCCCGCGAGGCGAAAATTTGGTCCCCGTTTACGGGCGATTTTGCGGACCCGGCCGAAGCGTAGGTGACTAACTTTGTCAACCTCGGTCTGCTCTATTTCCGAACCAATCCGAATGAAACTTGGCAACCAATCAGAAAATAGGGCAAACTAATGATATGTGGACGTTGAAGTTCGTACACATAAATTAACCTATACTTTTAGTGTCGGGAACACTTTCGTATCGTGTACACCGAAAACTATAAGGAGTTTGAATTTCAACGCCCAGATGGTAATAGATCTATCTATCCTCTATAGTGTGCTCAAATTTGAGAGTTCTGTGTCAAGTAGTTGTTTAGACCCGATCGTAAATCTACGACTACCCCCCTATCCAAAGCGGCTTCGCACGGAGACCGGCCATTTTCCCCTCACTCTCGTGGCAAATGTATGTAACCTACAAATCCCCGCATGACTATTTCGGACCCGTTCATTGGTCACTTGAAATAGGGCAATGGCGGGCGCGCGCATCCGGTTGTTTTTCTCTCTATTCCCCTGTAACATCGCAATGGGGGTATTCCGAGGCGAGGTTATCTCGTCTCGGGGTGTTCGCGTCTCAACGGGGAAAAAGAATTTTTAATTGTACGGCATGCTAGATTGAATTAACTTATCTTTTACGGTTAGCATGGTCTAAAGTCATCATAAAAAGCTTTGCAATTATTTAGTCACGCTGCCGACATATATTCTTAAAGATCCCATGTTGTGATACGATGCTATAAGTAAAATGGACTCATCCCGACACCCCTTTTTCGCAAAATCGTAATATGTACACCACAATTTTAATTATAACAAAATAACTACGAAATTGGTAGTAAATCTGACTGCAGAAATGATTTCTACACTCAAAAACACATCGGGAGCCAAGTTTCTCTCGAACACTCGGATTAGTTACCGAGATATCGTCGATTTTCTTACAGAATCTGCTACTGCGTGGTCCACTTTTTAGGAGTATTTTCCTATATTGGGTCATCCATATTTTGCCGACCTTTACAACCCTATAACTTTTTTATTTATGAACCGATTCTCAAAATTCAAGAAGCATGATTATTAGAATTGAAAATTCTTTCTTAGGTACCAAAAAAAAGGGGGCAAAAGTGAAAATTTAAATTTTCATTGGCATTGCTATGTACTATGTGGACTTTTTTCGCTATTTTGGCACCTTTCATTTTCTTCTGTCCTGTAAATGCCTGAAATGACATCCCCATTTGAAATGTGTCAAAATATTCTCTTTGCTTTAAAAGCAAGACAATATTCTCAGATTTCACGTAACAAAGATTATAATGTTATGTTTACCTTACCTTTCTCTCTTGTAAATTTCTTTCAGCTGGCTGAAGAACATGTGGAACCAACACATTGCTCCTAAGGTTCGAGAGGCAGTCAAACGAGGCACTGGATCTGAAGCCCCTACAGACGGTCAGCAAAAAGTGGCCAACACTGCCCTGTATGTGTTGATGCAGCGGTCGGTGATACTGAGCTGCCCTCTCACTGGCCTAGGTGAATACTCACATACTTTTGCTTTGATCTGATCATAGTGTAGAAATTTTATTTGAAGAAAAAGAGCCTAGAAATTTCCTGAAAATTTACGTAGGCTCTTACTTTCTGATTTTGTTGCTGTGACAAGAAAAATAGATTCCTCCAAATTGTTTTCCTCACTCTCTAAAGCAGAGTCGGACAAGATTATATATTTTTCTTAAAATAAATAACTTTCTTCTTGTTGAGTCACGAGCAAAAGTGTTCCCTGTACAATTAGGGCCAAATCCTTTTATCAAATTGTCAGATACATTGAAAATGTATGTTTTTCCTCTCATATGACCATGTCATTGTGCTGAGTTTGTATTGACTGCTCTAATTAGTTTTGAAGTACTGTAGTAAAAGTTATTGTTTTATATTCTTTTAAAACTTTTTCACCACTCTCTTCTACTGTTGCTATAAATGTTTCTGCTCATTAATGTTCTAAATATATGACCATCTTTTTTCATAAGTAGTAATAAATCCAATGGGTTGTTTGCAAATATAGTTAGTACAAATCATACATTTTTTATCTCAATTCTCTCTGTTATTACAATGTAAATGCATGGTTTGTAATGTACATGACAGTATATATCCTTGTGGAATAGAATAAGGTTTTACTTCTTTGCAGGTTGTCTCAAGCTCTGTGTGCTTTCCTTTTCTTTCCAGACAAAGAGAACTACCTGGCCGCCTTCTCTGGTTCGAATGAGTTGGATATCCCTTTGAAAGCTAGCGACGCCAAGACTCGAGGCGGTTCCTCTTTCTCTACTGTCAACCTGCTTGCTGCACGTGGTGGGCAACCTCTCCAAAGGCCAGCATCAAGCCAAGCAGAGGGCCAAACTGACAGACGTCTAGACAACAGAGGAACAACTAACTCACCTCAGACCACCTCACAATCTTCTTCGGTCCTGAGGACCAGGAGCAGAAATAGGTATGCCCATTGACTCTGACTTATTTTACTTTCTTGCCCCAAATTTCTCGTCAGTGGACTACTACATAGATATGGGATATTCTACTCTGTGCTTGGGCTTTTGTAAGAATGTCAGATATTCTTTTATTGAAAGCTTCTGTTGGGTTTACGTGAAATGCGAAAAGTACAGGACAAATGTTCTTTAAATTTGGAAATGCATGGTCTTATCCGAAACAAAGGATTACATGAGACTGTAAAGATTATTAATATTTAAAACAAAGTGAAGTCAGGTTATGAACAGCATTTTACATGTAAATCAAAGATATTTTGTACTGTGGCTCTACCCCCTTTAAAAAAAATCCTTAAGTATTTGCAGATCTTCTGTACAATGACAAATTATGGACCATGCCATTAATGTCTATAACATTGACAACTCTCACAGCAGTATAATGAAGCACTGCATAGATCTTTTTTAACCCGCCCTGTGTCAGCTGCTAATTAATTCATCTGTAAGTTTTATTCTGTTGTGCCATGGCCAATTGAATTGGCTGTAACTTGAGTCGCTATTTCAGTTCATTTATGTACTTCCTATTTATATTGTACTTTTTGAAAATGTATTATAAGTTTATGGCCTTTACTTGCTTGGTTTGCCTGTTCTCCAGCATTTTCAAGATAACATGGTGAAATCATTTAATTTCCCCTCACATCATAGGCTATTTGTCAGTGACAGAGGGTTAGGCAGGAATTCACATCTTTAAATACTCTATTCTGTTCCTTGATATAATGTAATCATTCTATGTCAAGAGGTACTCTGAGTTCAGTATTCTATTTGGTTTTAAGTTTCTAACAAATTTGATACTGAATGGATGTTTAATTTGTTTAAAATGTTTCATTTGTCTTCAAATATCATTTTCAGTCAAGATGATCAACAGACAGATTCCAGCTTTGGCGTCTCGAACATCAAACGGCGAAGCCTTTCGGAATCTAGCGTCAACAAAGCTGCCTTGTTAGAGCAGCAGCAACTACAACAGCAGCTTCTGGACAGTGGTCAGTTATCTGCATCAAGTCAGGCAAAAGTTGCTAAACTTGAAGTGACATCTCCGAAAGTGGTCAATATACCCTCTGCATTCCGCAGCCCTTCGTTGGGTTCCCAATCAGATTCTGAATCTTCCAGTTTAAGTACACCGTCTCAGAAATCAGGCAGAGTCAGTCCGTTACTGTCCCTGGTTTCTAATAGACAGTCTAATCCCCACATCAGTCAGAAGAAGTCGAGATCATCGGAAAATATATCTTCCAGTGGTTTGTCTCCCGGTAATCCAAAACTTCGATCGCCCGGTCCTTTCTCTTTTTCTCTGGCAACACCAACATCTAAATTGAATTCATTTAAATTCATGGAGAAGCCAAATGGTGGCTTAGGCCTGTCACTCAGTGAACAAATGCCAGACTTCAGTGTGTTCGACAAAGTTCCCACCCCAACAGATGAGCTGCCGCCCAGCCGGAGTTTTGTGTTTGTGGGAAAACCTAGCCCTAAGGACTCTGCCACAAACCCTCAGGGGGCAAAGGAGGAGGAAGAGGTCTGGAGCCGTAGACCTGGTGCGTTTGTTCCCATACACAGGCCTGGAGGCTCCGAAAGCTGGCAGAACAACTTGAGGCAAAAAAATGCTCACAGCTGATAATAGGTGTTGTTCATGATTTATTTTTGTTTTTTAGTCGTTTTGTTATTTTTCTTCTGATAAGGAGTTGTTTTACCTTTTTTAAAACTTTTTTGGGGGGGGGGGGGTTATTTTACTTAGGATAGTAAACTGACACAGATAGATACTACAAGTACATTTTTTAAAGCCTTTTTATTATTTCACTTTTATTCTGGAGAGTTTTAAAATAGTCCAGCATGCACATAGTTTACAGGGACATAGGGGAAAATGCACATATAGCAGACAGATTTTCAGGTTTCAGATTTTTTCTTATTTATATTCTTTGTATTCAAAACATGCACATAGCGCAAACAGTTTGTACAAAGCAGTGGATACATATCATGTACATATTCCAGAGCATGAATACACCATATCATGGCTCAGATATCAATGAACAGGATATTAGTGTTTTGTCATTCCTCTACAAGGAGAGTGCTAATCTATGAGATCATTGCATTATATCTACTGTTGATTAATGCCAATTTTTTTCTGTGATCTTACTTTCATTACATATTCTTGACTGACATTTCTTTATCACTATGTATATCAGAATAAAAATGCAATGTGCCCCATTTTCTTTTCTTCCTTCCCTCTTTTCCATATTCTACAGACGGTAGACAAGGAGAAATTCATGACCAGTGGATGTATTTATTTCTCTTTGTTGTTTTTGCACAACTAGGACAGCTGAAGCTAAAGACTAACAATGCTCCATCTACTGACAGACTATCATAGCATGTTACATTAATGATACTACTTCACTGACAGTTGAATTACTTTAGGATATGGAAATGATCATCTTGTCTATGTTATTTTATTCTGTTACATTTGCAGCTGAATTTTTAAAGATTTTAGTCTTTTATTTTACTGCCATGAACACTGCCCTTCTGTTTTGTTTGTGCATGTGGTTGGAGGGCGCCACTGGTAGGGCCTACATCTTTTCTTTCCCTCTGTAGTTTCTGTCTATCTGTCTTGCTTCTTCCCTGCACTATATGACCATTATATTGTTGATGTACTTCTCTTTACTCATACTTATACAAGACTATTATTTTGTATTCAGTAATGATATCTTTTCTGCATGTTAGTTTTTTTAGTCTCAGTCCATTTCATGACAATGCTGATTTGAGAGTGGATAAATTAATCAGTATGGTAATGTCTGAAAGAGCTCTTTTGTGTTGATGTTTAGATATTTTTGTAGAAAATATTTAGAGCTTTTCAGAAGTACATTGGCTTGGTCCCAGTGACGAAAACTGTTTACTGTAAGTTGTCGCTGTTTCTAGAAACATAAGTGCCTATGTTTGACCGTGCTTTTCAGGCTAGGTTAAAAAACATACCAGTCTCAAGTTCCTTGCAACAATAATCTATATATATAGGCTACCGTTTACAATCTCATGACTATGGCAGTAAAACTGTACATTTCTTTTACACAGTCTTTTCATTTCCTGCCTACCTTAGATAATTTAATTATTAGTATTTGTGAAATGGTGATAATACTTTTGTGCTTATGTCAGTATGACAGGCTCTTTATATCAACATGTCCATGATAACTTTTTACTCGCCCTATTTTTATTTTTTTTTAATCAATCCCATCTTTTACTCTGTTGTTGAAAATCTCTCCAATATGAACAAAATAATAGAGTTGTTAAGTCACATATATTATTTACATTATGCTACCTACAGTAAGTTATTGTATATTAGTATTAACCTGCATATGTAACTTCAGACAATGAATTTTGATTAGACATGAACTTATTTGAAGCTTTTGGGATATTAACCCTTTGAACCCCGCTCTCCTGGAGCTTAGGAACCTGTGTCCCAGGGCTCCTGAGCAGAAATCTTTATATTGGATATAGGCTCCATTACTTGATTTTAATGAAAAAATAAAGTGTTTCTTACCTTTTTACATATGTACAAGGGTTGTCAATGACCTAGCATCTGCGTTTGTCGCGGCTGCGATTTTTGGCAAATTTTGATCTGCGAATCACGGCTGCGATTTTTGCCTTTTTCCCAAAAAAAGAAAAAAGAAAAAAAAACACCGCTCGGGAATAAAAAATAGAAAATCAGACCGAAGGAATAAAAATCAAGAAACAAAAAATGAAAACTTACCAACAAAAAAAAGAAGAAGAAAAAAGAAATCGAACCTCATTAACTTTACTTTTAGTCACCCTTGTGTGTGATTCCATAATTTACATGTAAGTAATATCCTGTACTTTATCTTAAAATACACTCGTTTAGGGTTAAAAAGGCCAATCTTCGGATATTTTATTTCTTATTTTTTGTGGTTGTTTATGTGCTGTTCTAATTTGGATTTCATTCTGTTCTGAAACCTTTATTTTTTCACGTTTTACATCCTGTTTGGCTACAAATGATATTCTGGTTGCTTAAAACAGAACACAAGAAATTATGGTGCTTTAGATTGTTATAATGTTAACTCTATCAACATGCTATATAATACGTCGTCACAGAAAGTTGAAAGCTTGCAAATTAATGCAAATTAACTTTTTGGGCAACTTTTGCCATTTTTGTGGCAACTTTTGGCCAAAAAATTGGCAACAAACGCAGATGCTAGAATGACTTATCACCAATATTCCTGCTTCTGGTGCCAGTCCTGCCAGCACATGGAGTCCTCCCTGATGCACAAGAACTTTTTACAATAGCCACAACAGAATTTGGTATTGGTTTTCTTTGCAGGTCTGTCTTTGTAAGGAATATTGGGATAAGCTTTGTTGTGTTTGGTCTATTTTTCCGTGCAAACTGCACATATTTGGTTTGCCAGTTGCAATTTAGGATAATAAGGGAAAGTGTAAACCAACATTTTGCAGTCGAATAGGTTGTGTTTCCGTACTTTTGCGCGAGCTCTTTATTGCTTCATTTTGGAAGTCATCAATTAGCTGCAGGCAAATATCATCAATAAAATTTTGAAAGGTCCTCCCCCCGTTTGATGGGTTTTGATTTGATGTATTGCTTTATGCAGAGCCTATTTTTAGCAGGTGTCATGCCCTCATCTAAACTTTGATGCTGTAATGGATTATAAAATTGTCAAAATCGTGGTAGGATCAAATCTAAGATTAGCCAGACCTTGTAGATCTTGTCTCTTTTATCTATTGTTTGATATTCTTCATCTACCTAGTGGAGAAAGGTCCAGAGGGCCTGAAACCTGTCCCGCTCCATTACTTCATTGTAACCAGGTGTCTTAGTCAGGAAGTTATTTGTCTTGAAATAGTTTTCGTATCGCGGCTTCACTCAAGCAGATTCCATTGATAGACATAAAGCCATCATAGCCTTTATTTCTTCAACGCTTGCTGAATTTGTAATTTTTTTTCATAGTACACCCTAATGTTTCTCTCCTTCGCTTGTTCAGCTCTTAGTCTGAGGTTAGTCATTATACGAATCGTTTGCCAGAACTCATCAGGAAGTAGCAAGTTCAAAAAGTCTATGGCCTCACTATCTTCACCTACATTATCAGAGATGTTCTGTGGGCCAGAAGGTGTTCTACCTAAGAAGGTTGTGTCAACATCGGTTCTTGGTCTAATGTACTCATTGACTTTACCCCATCCTGAGTCAAATTTGCTAGGTTCTCTTTGAACAGGTCTCGTTTTAACAGGTGGAGGGGCAGGAGTGGGCGTGGCATCACTGTGATCTCCCAAATCTAGACCTAGGCCTACATTGGTCTCTCCTCTTTCGCTTTCATTGTCACTTGAAACCATGTCATCAGGTTCACATTCTAAATCACTATCATGATAATCTGAGTCCAGATTTAGGTCATCATCCTCATCAGAATCAGCGCACACTACCCTCATGACCTCTTCGAAGCGAAGGTGGCTTCGTCCTGAAGATGTCGAGGGCATATTCTGGTTTCCTGATTGATCCCTGTTCACAAAACTAAATAAAAGCAACAATTTGAATCACTGTAAAGCTATCCAACATCCGAACACGAGGCAGCCATTTTGGAATGAGTTTACCTCATTCCATGTAGTCCCTTGGGACGTCGAATGCTGTACGGGCTCTTTTTTCATAGAAACAGGGTAAATACCGATATATCGGTCTTACGGGATATGGAGTTGTTAGATCTATACCGATATATCTGGCTTATGGGTTCAAAGGGTTAATGTTATGTCAGTGTTCATAGTATTGAAAATACAGCTTTTGTCAATGCAAAGGGAAAACTTCTCTTGTGATGCTACAAAGGTCATAGTTCTTGCATGAAGTTTATTTTTTAAAATTTGTTTATTTGCCCTTTTGCCTTTACTTATTACAAGGCGCATTTTGAAAGTTGGTCCAGTACTGTGAGGTTTCAGGAACCTCTGCTGTTTCACTAGATAAGTCCTACTGTCATTCGATTGACTCAAAAAGAGCTGAAAAGAATGAATAGTTCAGGCAAGGAAAATATGCCAGCCCTATCCCATAGAAATGGCATATACATGGCACCCCCACCAACAGTTGAGTTCTCCCCCCCCCCCCCCCCTTTTTTTTTTGTATGTTAGTGTTAGTGGGACTGGCATTTATGACCTGTAGCCTGCTTAAAGATTAAAGAGTTGTGATCTTAGGGTTTTTAATTCCCACCAATCTGTCTCACTTGGGAGTGACCATGTTGATTTAATGGTTACTTGTGCTTATTACGTCTTCACTTATTCAGTTCCTCTCTCATGGGGAATGAAAGTACTACCTGGAAAAACATTGAGAGCATTCTCATGTCCGATATAAAATGAATTTTCACTCCACGGAATGTCTTGCTTCTTGTTGATCAGGACCCATTCAGGCAGAGCAGCTTTTATCCGTGTTTCAGAATTCTGCTAAAATTGAGCGTGTTTTTTGTTGTTGTTTGTTGGGGGGGGGGGGGGTTGTTCCTTTTTTTAAATTGAGGGGCAGGTTATGTTGTCATATATTGTTGTGACTTTTAAGTGTTTTAGAACTCCATTTTAAAACCTTCCTTAGTTTCCGTTCATATTGAAATGTACAATGCTGGGCTAAAATGTCTTTCTTTTTTCTCTTACCTGAAAAATTATTTTGGACAAGTACTCTGTACTACCACAATTTAGTCTGATAGCTTTGTTTGAGTTTTGAAATGAGTAATAAGTTGGACCTTGTATGATATAGGCCTGATGTCCCAACCTTTGCAAGGCACATTGAACCAGTCAGTGAAGGAGCACAAAATCGCCACTACCATGTTGGGCATGTGAACTGCACAATTTTCAGACAATTTTTTTGTATTCCATGTTAACTTATTGCTGTGTTTTGTTGTTGGATTCATTTAAATGCCTCCTTTACAAAATTTCAATATATTCCTTCTTCTGATGTAATAGTTTCTTACTACAAATGTATTTTAAATAACATATTTTTGCTTTGTTAATATGTTTCTCTACAATATGCGCAAAATACGTTCTACATCTTTGGATATTTGGGGCAATTTCACCTGTTTTTCTGTCGCTCATTCTCATTTCTGATTCTTCCAAACATAGTTTTATTTATCAGCGTAGTTGTGTCAGCTCACCATCATACTGCTCTCCACTATTTATTCTAAATTCAGCTAATTTTCCTTGCCCTTGATTGTGGATACTTGAATCCACCAAATTTTCTGGAACAGGTTCTCCCTGTTTGTGCATATTGTGCTTTCACTAACTTACAAACAGCCTAGATTTGTGACTCAACCGCCTACAAGCCTACTTACGTCTTTTGATTTTGAAATTTGGCTCACCAACATTGAGTAAATACATACAATTGTTTTCACTGAGAAAAACTGCTCTACTTTGCAGCACACAACAAAGCATTACGGTTTTTGCAGTTGTCATATTTCAATCTACGTACAAGTGTTTTGGGTTTTTTTAATGAGCGTATAAAGTATACTCTATTTATGATTATGTTAAAGACATTTGGCAAAATAACAGTACAGGGTACAGACAGTAGTAATATGTCACTAACTTGAATTAAACTTAAAGTGGGAGATGGAGTGACAAGCAGGTAAAAGGCAAAACTCTAGTTCTTAATGAACTCAATATACTGTCTGTGATTGCAGGAGAGTCTCTAACTGGAGCAGACAAAAAAACAACAACTAAAAGACACCACACATGCCAAAAATGTTTTGAGAAATATAAGAAGAACTGTTATTTATAAGAGTCATTTAGCATGTGCTGAGACTTGGAAAAAATCGAAAATAATTAATTTAAGTAAGGGAATGGATTCTTTGATAGTTTGGGAAGTTTTTGTACCTGAATGTGATGCTTTCTTTTTGCTATAGTATTGACTACTGTTTTATTGTATTCTTACCTAAAGAGGGGTTTTTTTTGTTTGGTTTATTTTTTAGTTAGTTCTGAATTCAGGGTTCGTAAGTATCACTGAGAACAAAATCCTGTAGCTTTGGTCCTTTTTTTGTCAGTTCAATTCGTGGTGTTCTGTTTGTGACTCAAATACTTGGTGAAATTTGATCAGTTTTATGTTATTCATAAATGATCCTGACAATTCAATGTTTGCTTCTGAATGTGTTTGTGACTGAGCTGTGAAATGTGGTGAGAGTTACGTCAGTCATGACAAATTCATCATTGACCAGGTTTTATAAAAGGAGGGCGGGGTTTTATTTATGACCAAACACTCTTCTTTGTTATTGGTCCTCAAAAAGTGGATTCAACATCTGTATTTCTACTTAGCACAACAGCTGTGATCAGTGTATCTTTTTTACATTGGCTGACAGTGAGAAAAAAATGTACAAACCTCTATAATTTATGTATATAGTTTAAACGAGAGTTTTGCCTGTTCTACTACTCCCTTCCTCTTATATGCCTAATGAAATGTTATTCCTTTTTATACACAAAGCTGTAGTTCTTTTGCTGATGAAATTTAATCTTTTTTATCAGTTATATGTTCAATAGTCTTAAGAAGTTGTCATTTTGTCACAAGATTCAATGAACTATGTAAAACAAACTGACAAAGGTTCATGAGCAATCAGCAGAGTGAATGTGTGAAATTAGACTGTTTGAAGGCGCTTTCATTTTTTACAGTGTGTTTTACTATATGTGTCTAATGGGCTGATGGCTGCTTG